CTGTGTGTGTATATATATATATATATATATATATATATATATATCCTGACAAGCCAAAGATATCTACCACACACCGTGAAACCAGGAACATCAGACTCCTCAGTAGTACCTCTATTTGCTGGAACATGTAAGGGTGGTTACAGATTTTCCTCAGCTGCATGATGGTGTTCATCAGGGTCTTTGTACCTCCTTTACCCTGGTAAACACAATGTGCACAATGCCTGTAATCACAGTTTTATTCTTTCTTCTCAAAAAGGGTCATCCAAGGACAGTTATCTAGACATCAATTAAAGTAATATGTATTTAGAGAGCCAAGGACCTCACAAGATCCAGTTTCACACTCTTATGTCATACCCTTATAAGGTAGCTTGTTTTCCTGCTCCGTAAAACTGAGTTTAGACACAGTATATACACAGTTTTTTTCCTGACAGTTAAAGTCAAACTTCCACTCTGGTACAGATCACAGTATATATTCTACTTATGTTATCATATAAATCATCTAGTGACAAATATTATCCTGGCCTGTTATTAAACTATACAACAATCCTTTCCAGAAGAGAAAACATGTTTGATTCTGGAAATAAAAGAGACACATGTTTAGTTATAATGATGCTCAAATCTGTCCACAGTGTTAAAGTGTTTATGCTCTCACCTTCTTGTCTTTCTCTGATCCATCAGTGAGCAGGACCCCCTTGGCCTGCATGTGCCTGTACAGTACCCTCTGAAGAGACGACATGTCGCACTTGATCACATATTCCACCTGGCGGAGAGGAGAGACAGGCTGAATTAATGATAGTGTTACTTAATAATGAAGTGGACAAAAAGAGATGGACAAAAGCTTAAAGAGATCAGCTGATTCAAGGCTGGAAACAGAAACTAGATATTTGCTATCCGTTAGTCTGGATTATTCTGTGTTTGTTTGTTTGCATGTATGTTGGTTTATCTGCTGTGTGTGCTGGAGTAGATTAAACATGCCTTCTCTGGAAGCTGCGCCTCCACTTCCTTCTTTAATCTTCGCAACAGGAAGGGGCGAAGTACTTTGTGGAGACGACGGATAATCAAGATGGTCTCCTCTTCATTAAGGTCCACCTGGAAAGTAAAAGACAAATTTTTAATTAAAAATAACAACACTAGCAGACTGCATTGCTAAACAGCTATGTAGCTCATGCACACCTTTTCTCCAGTCATGGCGAAAGGAGCGTTGAACCACTGCTCGAAGGTGCTGCAGCTCTTAAAGATGGTTGGCAGGAGGAAGTTTAGCAACGCCCAGAGCTCAGGTAGTTTGTTCTGCAGCGGCGTTCCTGTCAGGAGGACTCGCCGTGGGGCCAGGTAGTGGGTATTCAGGACCTGGGTCAGCTTACAGTGATGGTTCTTCATACGGTGGCCTTCGTCTACGATCATGTACTTCCAACGGATCTGGTTGAGTAGAGAGGACAGGAGACCATTTGGATAAAGCTACCACTACACTGCATCCAAACAAACCGAAAACAGAAAAGTGCTCATAAGGGAGATCTGGTCCAGTTTGTCCTGATGATGCACGCTGGTTCAGTCCCAAGCCAAAGCCTTGAACCACCACATGGGGAAAACTCTTGCCTGAACTACAACACCCACCTGTCACAGTCAGGAAGCCTACATGCCTACATGAGTGCAAAGCAGCATGACGGCCACAGAGGACAGTAGGAGACTCGGTATACAGGCGGGGGTCAGTGTGTGCAGCACCTAGGAGAGAGCACTGAGACGCAGCACAGGGGGCGGTCAGATTGTCCAAGATCAAATACTTTTAGAGGACTTTGGGGAGTGGGAGCCGACAAACAAGAACACACTGAAACCGAATAACATGTAAAAAGCAACAGAATCTTGTTGTGTACATGTGTAGAGGAAAAAATACACTACGACTGCCTGGGCGTGTTAGTGCATGTCCTTGTGCTTGTGTTTGTTTGTACATCCCACCTCACCTTGGCCAGTACTTGTTTATCCTTGATGATGTACTCGTAAGTAGTGAGTAAAACGTTAAACTTTCCACTACGCAGTTGAGGGACGAAGGCTCTTCTGGCAGCAGGAGACCCCTAAAAGATAAAAAAATTTTAATTATACAATATAAACAAACCAAATATCTAAAATATCAACATTATCTTTCTGATATCTTTCTTTCTGAACATTTTATGATACAAGCATTAATGACTAATAAGTGCAATTTAGGTGGTGTGGCTGTGAAATGCCTCACCTTGTAGGACACTTTCACGACTGTCGGTGCCCACTTGTCAAACTCATACACCCAGTTAGAAAGAGTTCTGTCAATGAGAGACAGCTCCGTTGTCATTCAACAATTTAATCAAAATTTCTTTATTCTGTAGTGTCCTGTTTCTTTAAATAGCTTCCTTGATGAAGGAGAATTAAAACATGTAAAATATTTTTGCAGTAAATGAGGATTAGCTCACGAGAGGGGTACAATGATGAGGTAGGGTCCATTAAGCCGTTTGTGCTCCATGAGGTACGTGATAAGGGCGATAGTCTGGATGGTTTTTCCCAGGCCCATCTCGTCTGCCAGGATCCCATTCAGGTTATTGTTGTAGAGGGAAACCAGCCACTCCAGACCTTTAATCTGACAGATGAGGAAGGGAGAAAGTCTGTCTAACATGGCAAAACATTTACATCTCTAGTCAGAAATGCCTTTGCTTGTGGCAAAAGAACATTGTGTGTTTTTCTTTTTACATCGCGTACCACGTCAGAAAATATTAGGCAGAAAATACAGAAGCGTAGGCTGACCTAATTCCGCTATGGGCAGTACACATTGGGCAATTTTATTTTACCACTAAAGGCATACACGAACCACAGTTTGAGAACCAGTGGTGTAATTGATTTGATTGGGCTTGTTCACCTGATACTGTTTGAGCTGTCCATTTATTAACAAAGTGGACTGTTTCTCCACCTTCTCTGTGACAGCGTGAGCCACAGAATAATAAGACTGGAGCCCTCGGGCGAACGCTGCACCGCTATATTCGTCATCCACATCCTGTTTAGCATTTCTGCAGAGGAAACACAGAGTTTTATTCAAACATGACATTTGTGGACATATTTTGTAATATGATGAATTCAAGAGTAGTACTCCAAGTATGTACTCACTCAATGATGTGTCGGACGTCCACCTCTGACACGTCTTCGCTGTCAGGGTCTGTAATCTTCTTTTTTTCCTCCACCGGTGTAGACGATGGATGAGGCTCCTCCTCTTCCTCCTGCCAGACAGCTGGTCAGTGATTGGAACAGGGAATATGAAACTGGCTTCAAGCATGTCTTTGAAACAACCCACCTCCTCCTCTTCCTCCTCCTCGCTGTCTTCACTGTCTGAGCGGGGAGCCACCTCATAACTGGACAAAATGCATGATCAAATTAAATTATCTGTATCTTAACATTTCAAACACGCTAGTGTATTTGTGAGGCTATAATGTTTATAACATATCAAAAAACAGGAAAGTAGTTGATGGTGCTAGATGAAAAGTCATTGTAGCTTTTAGATAGCTTTATCCTTTCTGGGCCATGAATTTCATGGGAATTCATTAATTGCCAAGAGTCAGTATTTCAATGAACAGACCAACTAGACTGACTGACATTGCAGGACCTACAGCTAAACCGCTTTTATAAAAAGACTTTCACACACATTTGCAAAACACAAATCACTCTTCCTCTCCCCAGACAGTCTCACCCAGGGTTCATCTCCAACCAGGTCTCCAGCTGTCCAGCTTTAGGTGCATCCACTCCTGTCAGGATGTTCCCACTGTCTACATGGATGACCTTCACCGGCAGGTCACTCATCTGACTCGTCTCATCCAGAGGCTGCAGGGGAGGAGGAGAGTTATCTTTTGGACTGGGCTAATTACACTGGACTGGCTTTAAATGGTGGTTAAATTAAATGGGACAAAGACTCATATTCAGCCGTGGCTTGTAACCAGTGGATTCATTTTAGTCACCTGCACTGACAGCCATCACTTTAAGATATATACATAGTACCAGTGAACATGATGGAGCAAATAACTGTGCAAATTCTTCTTTCAGCCCTGACAGCACAAGGACAGAGAAACAATACCCCCTGAAGCTTTGTGTGAAATCTGATCTAAGCTTTTAAAGAAGGTCTCTATAGAGACCACAGAAAGCAACAAAACAAAGACTCAGGTTTGCGTTGTGAATGCATTGTGGAAGTGTGTATTTTAATGAACAGCATCAGTGACTCTTGAATGTCTGCTTTAACTACCTTTTCCTTACTGGAAAAGATATAAAATAATCTATACAAACAAAACCATTTTTATTGTCTCTAAAGTTCTGCCATCACTATGGCTGCTGTATCTGCTCACCTCTCCATCAGGACCCATGGCAGGAGCCTGACCCTCAGCAATCTCCAACTGCAAGACAAGGAGAAGTAGACAGTCAGTGATTATCAGAATCAAAGATAAAAAAAATAGACTCTCTAATATCTGAGGTTTAGACTGTTGAGGACATTTACATATTCATATATCCCTCTCATACTGTTTTCCATACCTTCTTCTTTTTCTTCTTCTTCTTCTTTTTCTCCTTGAGGGCCTGTGCAGCTTTGTGAGCTCTGACCAGCTCGGTGAGGTTGGCGACGTACTCGTCAGTTTGCTGCAGCAGGTAGGCCAGGCGCTTATCCTTCTTCTGGTCAATCAGTTTACGATAGCCCTCCTCATCCTCAGCCTGGGAGGACAGACAGTGTGTGTAAGAGGGTGTGTATACTGGTAAACTGGTATAACTGTGTTTGTTTGGTGCCATTATTACCATAAGCCTCCTCATCCTCTCTTTCTCAATACGCTCATTCTCTTTCTTCTGTTCCCGTTCAGTGTTGGCATGGTAGGTGGCCACAGCTTTGGTCAGTTTCTGCATTTTGCCTGTGATGGAGCGGTGGTACTCTTTGAAGTCTTTGGCGTGCTGCAGGATGCTGTTGAGGTACTCCTAAGATTAGAGTGCAAGTATGGGTGAAGGACAAATAAGCACTGAAGAAAATATCACCTAATCTTATCGCAGGTAACGTCACAACTGCGTTTGTCCTCTACCTGATGTTTCTGCCTGCGTTTGCGCTCTTGCTCAATCTTCTGCTGTTTCTCCAGTTTCTCTGTGATGCGTGCCTCTCGCAGAGACTGACGCTTGCTTCGCTTGTAGGCCTTGGCATCAAGGGCGGTCTCTAGAGCTGTGTCGCGACGCATACACACGACCACCTCTTGACGCAGCTGTAGATAGACAAATATACAAACATGGACACCACCACCATCACAAACATGCAAAAATGTGATGTTGTGAAGGTTAAAGGTGAAGGTGAAGGTGAAAATGTGAATACCTGTCTCTGGAAGTTCAGCAGTCGGAGAGCTTTGAGCTCTATGGTAGCTTTGGTACGTAAATCACCAGCCAAGGAGCCCGGCAGGTTCTCCAGTTCAGCGATACGATGAGTGATACGAGCCTGTAACCTGAGGGAGCAAACAGTACTGAGTTGCTGTTATTTCTTTATGTATTATTCATGCTTTTGATTTTGAATACCTCTGGTGGACAGTATACAAGAAAATGTAAACTGTGTAAAAACTGTAACATTTCAGATTTAACTTGCTAAAGTTTAATTTAGATGTTTTTCTTGAGATGTAAGAAACTGTACATCCCCAAAGGCCCTGGTATACCTGTACTCCCTCTCCTGCAGTATCTCCACAGGGTCGAGGCCGCAGGGTTTCTGAATGGGAGTAATGCGGTTCTGCTTGGCATGGTAAGGCATCATGGGAGTAGGCTGTGCTGGCTGGCCGGGGGACTGGGTCTGTGGAGGCATAACCGGGGAGGCAGCAGGGGGAACTGAAGGGGGAGCGGGAGAGGGCCGGCCAGTGGGCTGAGGGGGAATCAGCTTTTGGGGTGCGTTGGAGGGGGCCGCTGCATTCACCATGGGGCCTGGAGGATAGTGAAGAGGGGGAATAAAGAAAAGGTTAATATCATGCTGCTGTAAATGCTGCTGTACTCTACAGTCTATAATGGCCTTACAGTCCATGGACTTTTTCATAGTAGATATTTTAACATATCCTAAGCACAGCTGTAACCAGTTCTGTTCCATTTGGGTATCCAAATAAGCCATGACAGTAAGACAGCATACACAACAACAGGTCCCTGACACTGGGACATCTAACTGTAAATTCATATAATACTTAATTCAATACATTGTACACATTTCCTCCCTGATACCTTTTCAGGCTCACTTTCTTGCTTAAGTGGCTCTTAATTAATGAATACATTTCAAATTTTGTTTTTTGTTAATTTGCCACTTTAATCTTTGATATTTAATGCTGTGCTGAGTCCATAAGAGAAAAATTAGAGAACCTACAACATGAACACTGTAATGTTACGTATGAATTTAATAAATTTACTCTGTCTGCGCTGCCAACAAGCCTCCCTGTCTTTGTTGGGCCCTCCTACAGTGAGATTAGTCAGTTCACTTTTTTAAACATATCCTGATATTTTCATTGTCCGTTATTTTGGGAACAAACATGGAGCATGAACATTATGAAAAAACTCTTCCTGCTGCTGAACACGCCCTTTTTTTATGCAAACACAGACAACCTCAGATTAAGTTGACACAGACTCAACTAACTTACATCACAGTCAAAGTACAGTTTAACACCAGTGTAGGAAATCAGAGTTTGTCAACTTGGACTTTCTTTTATGACTCCGACTTAAATCTGAGTAGGTTCATGTCCCTTCGTAGTACAGCCCTCAGGAAGCCAAGCAACACACGCAAAGACAGGAGGAAGAGCTTTGTTAGAACTCAAGGATACACACAATGCGTTTTGGTGTGAAACACTGAATGGAAACTTTTGGTTTGTTTACAGCAAAACACATGGATTAAAAATCAGGATAAATACTGGAAGGTAGAATAAATGTAAGAATGAGTGTCTCTAATATCACAGTATATTGGACCAAAGTTTACAGAGTGAACATTATACTAAAGCCATGAATTATTATCACAGTAACCAAGAAAATCTTAAATTAAGACATTAAAAGCAAAACTTACCCTTATATGTTGGCATATGAACAAACAGTTCTAATCCTATCAGATGATTAATTTTCTTTCCTGGATTAGAGGTAATAACTGGAATTTATATGGACAATACCAGCTCTGACTAAGGTACTCGCACTAGTTCAACAGCACAAAAGACTAACAGGTTTCACAAGGTCTTACAGCAGCACCACATACCTTCAGGCCAGGACTTGGGAGGTCCATTTGGGTTTTGTCCCTGCATCCCAGCTGGAGTACCCGATGGTCCTGGAGGAGGCATGTTGGGACCCATCATTCCTAAACAAACAAGTGATTCTCTTAAGTCTAATGGCAGCTTAACAACAGAGGTCTTTTAAAATGTGAGAAGAGGACTGTGGGAGTTAACTAGAGTATGAAGATCCAATGTAATATACAGCTATAAATGAATCTTCTATCAATTATTCATCAGACTGAATGATGCAGCTTCATATTCCAGACATTCCCCATTCATGCTCACCATGAGCTCGACTGTAGCCTGAGCCCATTGGCCCAGGCCCTGGTCCTACTGGTCCACCTCCTGGCCCGCCTCCAGCTCCAGGAGCTAGGCTGGGCATGGGCTGCTGCTGCTGCATCCCAGGCATCGGCCTCTTCCCCTGGACAGCCATCTGGAGATGGTCTGGGAGGGGCTGTCCCCGGGCCAGCATCTTATAAGCCATGATCTGGGCTCTCAATTGGTGTAATTGGTTCTGATTGAAGGGAGTAGGGCCACCGGGGCCACCAGAACCTCCAGCACCTGTAGGACCTCCAGATTCAAGGCCAGGTCCAAGGCTGGGGACGCTTGAGCCAAGGTTGGGTCCAGGGCTGGGGCCTGGGCCGGTGCCACCTGGAGGGCCAGACCGGTTACTGGGACCCAGAGAGTGCTGATCCCCACTGGGGCCATCTAAAGGTGTAGAGGCAGAGCCGGGACCACCAGAGGAGGAAGAAGAAGAGGATGATGGCATAAGAGGTCCAGAGGGAGGACCATTTGAAGGGACGGGGCTGGAGTGGTCAGAGCCACCTAATGGAGAGTGGTAACCTGGAAGACAGACAGACAGACAGACAGACAGACAGACAGACAGATGAAAGGGGTGCTAGGTGTAATCATTCATCTGGGGGTCTCAAAAGAAAAACAAATGACATTTTAGAGAATATGATTATTTGCTCTCATGCCAGGTGCAGTCAAGTGACTTCCTGGAGTTCTATTGTTACTGTGAGGTTGCCTGGTAAAAACCACTCCTTTAACAAAGGTCTGTAACATAGCCAGTTAAATAGTAATTTATTCCCTAACACTGTTCAAATCCCGCCAGACTGTTATGTCATAATGTTTTAACTCTGATTCACTAAGCCTGTCTGACTGTCTTCATTCCCTCTATCCCTTCCTTATAGCAGGCTGCATGCAGAGCTGCAAAGTGGCTACCTGACTGTTAACACTGCCTTTGTTTGAGTCAGACTGAGCTGTGGAACTGTATTTTCATATAGTAAAACAAACATTTTAATGAGTTGAACGTGGTTCATTTCATAAAGACACTCCCTAAAAACCAGCCAGGCTACATGGCCACATCATTACAGATGTGTCATACTTAAAGAACACAACTTGTCTTACACAATGCTGGAAAGGACCAAATTGCTTAAGAAAGGTCTACGTAGCACGCCTACCTTGCGAGTGTTGGTCTAGAGGACTGGGTGGGGGGCCCATACCACTATGCCCGCCCTGTCTCATAGACAGTCCCTTCATCTGACTAAAGCGGCTCTCCTCACTCATGCTCTTCTCATGCATGCTCTCCATTGGCTGTGGGAGGAATCACATAACACATTAAAATAAATAACAAAATGGTAATATTAAATCAAATGTAAGGTGTTGGATGTCAAGGGCATGTCAAGTAGACTGATCTGTAAACAACATGGAACGATAAGGAGTATAGCTTTTCAACATGTATGGATTAATATGCAGCTGCAGTTATTCACTGGTATGTATGTGTTACAATGCCAGAGAAAGCATGTGCCCATTATGAAACAAATATAATTCATGTAAACAGAATAAAATAATAAAATACTGAATGGAAACTGATTAGAGAGGATGTGCTGTCATATATATAATATGCAAATCTTCCCAAAAAATGCAAAAAGTCTACAGTTAATTCAAATGTATGTTTTGCTGTGGAATAGCTGCATGGTACAGTCTACAGATCACGCCCTTTCTATGATAATGTGATGTTCAAACTCCTTAATATACTTGTATAACATTAGATTTGTGGGATATGTGTTTAGAAATATTTGCTGACACTCCACCTGTTTCCAACAGTGGTGGTGTGTCTCAGTGGGACGTTGGGTGTTTGTACGTCCTTACTTTATGCAGAGGATGCATGTTGTCCTGGCCGTATCCAGATGGCCCTGCCTGGGAGTGTCCAGAGGAGGGAGGGCCAGGGCTGGGGCCCATCATGCTGTGAGAGGAGCCTGGGGAGGGCCCGGGGCTGGGGCCCAGCATGGCCCCGGGGGAGGGACCCGGACCAGGAGAAGGACCTGGGCGAGGGGTGCCTCCCATGGGGGGATCTGGCGTCGACATCGCCCTGGATCTCCTGCTCCCGGATGAGCAGCAGGGACCTGATAGAGAGCAGAGAAATGACAGAGAGAAGGTGAGAGGGAGTGACAGAGAGGAGGAAATATGATATTTGCAAAAGTGTGGCAGTGCACTCTGCAAAGGTTACTAATCTAAATATCCATAATTTAGTGGTTTGATTAAACAAAACTTTAAAAAATATGTTGACAGTGAAGCTGCATATTTAGCTTCTACTCTGCTTTTCTGATAGATGAAGTGGGTGCACAATCTTTGCAGGATATGGGTGAATTTTGTCAAACGCCTATGAAGATGAAGACATTCTCCTGCTGCGCTGCACCAAATCACCCGTTGCGCGCATATGCAATTACAGCTGCAGGGTCTACCGCTGCACTTGCACTGAACACGGGGAAATACTGTAAATTATGCACACATGAGCCCATGCTACTGAGAATTTCAGTCCATGAAAGGGTGTCTCGTTAAATATAAAAAAGGGGAATGGCGGACTGTGCTTGTGCGACTGACCTACCCGCATCAACAGGACAGGCGGTCCTGGGCGAATTTCTGCGCTCCCGAGTTTATATGTGTGGGAGATCAAAGAAAACGCAGCGGTTGTCGCAATTAGTCCACTCACCCTCTTTGTAATCTGCCTTCAAGCGTTGATTTGTCTCACCGACGTGGCTCGAGCGCCCCCTCCACCGCTCCTATGACCGAATGTCTAGTCACGGCTGCCCGGTAGCGCGCATGCGTGTACAGCGACATAAGGCTACTCACAGTGAACATCCACAGTGGACTGTAGGTTTATTATACAGTGTGGGAATAATTGTTTACAGCTACGCTCAAATGTTAATATGCACCTTAGAGAAAATAACACGAGTCTGCATGTTTTTATCAGGCTTAAATTAAGCCTTTAAAAAAATCATCAAATCTAACTTTATTTTCATTCATTAGAGGCTATTAGATCACAATGAATTGGGCATTAAGAACCAAGTAATATAATAATTATTTAATAACAATAATAATTATTGTGGTAAATTAATGACAAAGGATCAAAATACAGAAAACTAAAAGTAAACTAAAGCAATGTGTTACAGTGTTCCTGTAACATTTACTGTACGCAGCTTTACTCTCACAACATAAGCTCACTGCATCACATGAGAAGCAAGTCCTTGTAAACTCTGGTGCATTTGGTGAACCTTTACATTTATGCAAACATTTTATGCCAAGCAATTTTCAGAACCTTTTGAAGAACAAAAACTTTGAAAACCCATGTTCAACCACTGGATGTCTTTTACCACAGCGCCCTTTGATTTATCACATTTACTCACCACTGTGATTAATACTAATACTTGGCTTTTCTGTCCACGATGGAGATATTTAACATCCTTTGCTAAGTTCAAAGTAGGCAAACATGAAACTAAAACACAAGTCAGTTTAGTTTAGTCACTCTAAGTCAACCCTGAACAAGACTGTTTCAGTACCACGCAATTTACTACTCGAATCAACTGCAAAACAAACTGATGTTAAAAACAGTCTTTCCTCTGAGGGACTTACGTCTTGAAAAAGAATATTGCATTTTGTCTGAGAAATAATAAACATACTATAAGAACAAACAGTCAGTGCTCGTCCTGCACAGTTTACAGTTCAAAAAACACAAAGTAGAATGTGATTCCAGTGTTTGAAGTTTAATCAGGACAACAAACCTAATAACAGTAGTAGTGCAACTTGCAGTAGTAGCCTTCACGTAAAAAAGGGACAAACAAAACAGAAGCCTGAAGATCCATTCAACATGGGCCAGAGTTGTTCACTGTATATTTGCCAAGTAAAACCCAGAACCTGAACTCACGTGTTTAAAAAAAAACTGATCCTGGTTTGAATTTGCAAAATGTATCCAGATAACTTTATAATCATGTAACAAGCCTCAGTTTAGAGGTTAGAAAAACACATCCGTCTCTAACTGAAGGGATCATTTCTGTTCATCCCCAACCTGGGAGCTTGTGTAGCTCTCTAGGCGCACTGTAACAGCAGATTTTTTTTTTTGGGAGTGTTTCATATGCTTAATTATGAATAATAGGGAAATGTGGGAGACTGGAAGAAATTGAAACCTCTGTGAAACACAATGTGACAAACTCCTAAATACATCAGTACACTTATTAAAGACAGAACAAATTAACTATACACTAACCCCC